CCACATCACAATCCCTTCTCCTCCCTTTGCCTCCTTGGATTTGGGGTATGCACACACACGTGCCCAGTGTGATTTTCAAGCCTCTGGGTACAGGACTCAAACCACAGTTAGTCACGTGGGAGTCCAATGCCTTAACTGTCATGCAATATGCTGGCCCCCAGACTGATTTTCACTTTTTAGACAGAGATTTTTACTTTAGAGCACATGCACTTGCCAGAGTGACAGAGACAGAAAGTGAGAAATCACCTCCAGGGAAGATGGCCACACCTCAATCTCTTCTCTTTCATTCTCCTCTCGGGATTTTGAGCACGTGTGCATATGTACCTGACATGAGTTTTAAGTCACGGGTCTAGGTGACTGCAGTCAACTATGCGGGAATCCAGCGACATAACCATTATGCCATCTGCCGGTCCCAGAGTGATTATTTTTAACATTAGAGAATAAGGCTGTTTCTTTTGCACATTTAAAAGAAAAAAAATGTTTAAACCTATGGTATTTCTTCTACTTCTATGGCCCTTCTAAATTTTTACTTATTTTTAGTTGACAGATTCATCTTCGAATATAGCACCATATATGATTTTCCCATGATTCTTTTGTAACCATGTAATCATATTTAGGAGAATGCATGACCAAACAGGTTTGCTTATTCTTTTCTTTTTTCTTAATGTCAAAGGGCACATGTACTCACTAGAGTGGGATGGGGAGAGAGAGAGCATTCCCCCACATACATTCCTTTTCCCTCCATTTCTCCATCCCATCAGGATTTAGGGCACACATGAACACTTGCCTGGTGTGTTCTTCAAGTCTGGGGCCAGGACCCAAACCACAATGGCCACATAGGATCTGGCTGCCTGTGCACCGGGCCAAACTGCAGTACCATGGGCCCACCCAAAAATGGGATTCTAGAATAGATTTTAATAGAATTGAGAGCCAACAAAGACAGGCTCACACGCTAGCACAATTTTTGCTGTCTCAAACATTTACCTTTCTGATACCGTATGGCGATTTTTCTTGAAGAAAAAAACTTGAAAAGGAAATGCCTTAAACAGCTTAGTGATCTTCTTTTGAATGATTTTTTTTGCATATAACCTCAGAGTGTTCTAATAACTGAGCAAAGAAAAAAAGAAAAAAGAAATACTACTTTATGGGACCAGCAGATAGCATCATGGTTATGTCCCTGGACTCCCACGTAGTCAACTGCGATTCGAGTCCCAGACCCAGCAGGTTAAAGCTCACTCCAGGCACATGTGTGTACCTGGCCAAAATCCCAGGAGGAGAATGGAGGAGAAGGGATTGTGGTATGGCCATCCCCCCTCGGGGCTCATTTCTCACTTTCTGTCTCTCTGTCTTCCTCTGTCTTTCTGGCCAGTGCACGTACCCTATAGCAAAAATCTCTCCAAAAAAAAAAACACTTCTTTATAACAAAAGTCTGTTGGCTATATTTTAAGTAATCAAGAGATTATGTGCAGTTCTTGTGATAGTTTTCAACCACCTAAATTTTCCCAAGACTTTTAAAGCCTATCTTCAAAGGATGCACCTGTTTTCTCTCAAAATTGATTTTTCCACATGGTTTGTTTTTGTCCTTTTCTTTTCCTTTGCTACCTCCTGGATGCATGCCTGCCAGCATTCCTTGCTCTCATTTGCGGTCAGCACAGGCCTGTATGATTGTCTTGTAACCCCTCTGAATGCGTCTTGTAGTGTTTGTCAACCAAGAGGAAAGAAGGCCTGTGTGTTTTCCCTCTAAAATAATCAACACAACATTCTTGTCTTGCAGATTGATTGATGATCTAGGATGTTTTTCCTAGAAGAGAGAGCTTTGTCTAACACCATACTGATTGCTGGAGTTTGTAAAATCTCTCTCCTTCCTCCTTGCTATAATAACTCCTTGTTCTAACATTCCAGAGACAGTGCATCTGTCCTGCTTGCTGACAGATTTTGTCCATTCACATCCATCTCCCCCAGTGCATGTTCTTATTGAGCTGTGATCAATTCAGTGGTTGACAGCTTGTAGCTTCCTTTTTTTAATGGAATAACACCATAATAAGAATCTTGAAACATTGAATCTCAATGCAGTGTAAAGGTAAAGAGTATTTGAAACTGTGAAATTCTTACAATCAAGAAAATAATAGCACCGGTAAAACCCAAGAATAATTGAAAATGCATGCAGCAGATGCTTTGTAAATTTTTCCTAACTCTCCCACTGGGATACAAAGAAAATTGCCTTTAAAAAAAAATCCCCTGACAATGTCTTTTGTAATTAGAGCTATTAAGTTGAGATGATAAATAAGCATTCAATGACATACTATAAAATAAAATGGCCCTTTGCACTGATTTCTCCTTGAATAGCAAGAGATCTGAATATCGAGAAAAGGAAGTCAGACTTCTTTAGCATTGAGAATTATTTGGAATTGTTTAGCAAATTAGAAAACAAGGCAGTTGATTTTCTTTCTCATCTTTCAGTGTGGTCATGTCCATTAAGATAGGAAATTAAACTGATTTGCCAAGGAGGTCAACAGTTATAACCAGAGAAGAGCCTACTCCAGAATGCAAGGTTTTGAGGCCATGATTTTCAAAAATACATTGCAGGGTACTTCACTGAGGGTATGTCGTACGTGTAATCCTCAGTAGACAAAGGTCATAAAATCTCCTTACTGGGAGCTTGTCCTGTTGTAGAGACTTAGGTACTAGAAAAGAGAACTGAACAGTGGTGGCCCCCATCCATAGGGTGATAGCACTTGGAGCACGTTCTAGTCTGTTCTCATGTGACCCAAGACAATGGCTTTATGGCCTTCAGATTACTTCTCATAGTTGCTTATGTTGCATACAGGTTGCTAAACCTGGGGAAGCAGGGTCCTGAGGTTTAGAGAAGAAAGGTGAGTGCAAAGCACAAGAGAGGCATTAATGAGAGAACTAACTGCGAGCTAAGAAGCAGTTTCTGGCATTGCAGCTCCTGGGAACATGTTTTCTGGGAGGAAACTAGATGAATATAATGAGTGTACCCGGTGCATAAATTCAATATTAGTTCTACACCCAAGGTCAAATGAAAGTTAATGACCATTTGCACACCAGAGATCTGAAACCCACATTTTCTTTCTTTCTCATAATGACAAAAAGGGAGAGCAATTTATATTTAAATTGATTTAAATTTCAAAGCATAAACACAGAGGTCTCCTTGGTACTTCCTACCCCACCTCACCCCCCCCCCTTTTTTTTTTTTTTTTTTTTTTTCTAACCCTCCAGCGCGC